TCTTCACTTTTCTTATTCTCTTTTCTTTGAAATTCAATTATGTTGACAACCTTATTCTTTATTCTACTCTTTGTTTATCTATTTACATTCTTAACTTTATCACCAACCAATTTAAATTATAATTTTTCAATGTAAAATGAACCAATTTGGTGAAAATATACAACAAACCTAATAATTCAATCCATTAATATAAGTGATTATTTGGTCATGACATTTCTCTATGGTATGTTGTGAGTGCATCATAATGAATCCTTAAGTAGTAAATACAACAATCAACTTCCAATAACACTTAAAAATGTTCATTCATTGTATCACTACATTCATAATTTGACTATGAAATTATTTAGTTTGATTTTGTATTTAGAACCTGCTCTTTACAATGGCCACCTCAAAGGATATCCTTTATTACTAACCATTCAATAGAAAGAATAAACTACTGATTAAAGGAATTTTACTTCTTTATATAACTCCTTATTCCCCTTTTCTATCTTTGTAGAATTTGTTGAGAATGTCATTGTTAATTAATGAGTTTAAATATTTATAAAATATCTTATTAATAATGGTCATCTATAATTCTTAAGCAAATAAACACCTTTAACTGATACTTTATCGATCCATTAATTCAGTCTATATAATATAAAAATTGAATTTTGTATCTAATTATTTAATTCTATCTTCTCCTCTATATTTCTTATTAAAAATTAATTATAAACAGAAAACAAAATAAGAATGATTGGAATGGATAGTCAATTAATAGTATAAAAATAATAAGTAAAAATAAGAAATGAACACTTATAAGTTATTGAAAACTGGTTTAATATAATCTAAAAGTACCAAAAATCAATCAAATGAAATATTCTGAATTATTATTTTGTATTGTCACTATAAATTTATTACTATCAATTCATTAAATAAAGTCATATCTTATTTTTCCTTTTTCTTAGTTATTCTCTTAGCTCACAATTTATTTTTCATGATAATTATACTATATTTTATTCATTGATATAGTATTATAATATCAATTATTACTATATTTATGAATTAATTTTTATTAATCATCTTAACTAATTTAATTAAATGTTATAAAATAATATCATATACATTATTCAATTTAACTAAATAACCTATAATATCGAAATGTAACACATTATCTTTTATTTCATAAATATACTTTTAATATCATATTCAATAATCATTGAAATATTTAAAAACAAATTCAATGTTAATTACAGTGTTTTTAGAATAAAAAAATTTTTAATACCTTTTTTAATTAAAAAAGAAACAAATAATAATTTAACTTTAAGAAGTTATGCAAAGACTGGAATAAAAATTTGTCTTGGTTCATTGGCAACACAAGAGGCAGCTTCAATTTGATAACTTGTACTAGTTGTTGTAAGATGTGCATTTCCAGTCCATGTAGATCTTTGTTGTCCTTCACTCTTTGCTTGATAACAAAGGTTATTGCTGGAGAATGGAAGATAGAAATGTTTACTGTAACTTGGCCATTTGTTTGTTTTACTATATTCAAGATACCACTCAGTTTTGTATGGATGCACATAAACAAATCTTTGATTGTTTGTTCCTGGATCTAATGGTGCTTTCTTCATCCAAATAATTAATGTTGCTCCTCTATTAGCTCCTCCTCTAATATCATGGACTCTTCTAGGAATTGAGAATGATGTATACATTTTATATGGTGCAAATTCAAAGAATTGAAGTTCATTTCCCATTTTCAATGGTCTTAAAAGAATATTTTGTTCATATTGACCTTGATAGTATCTAACTGATCTTTTATCATCAAACTCCATATCCATAACATATCTAGTATCTCCTCTGACATCATCAGCATTAGTGAATTGCTTTTTAGTTTTATAATTATAATCAGAAGCAAAAATAACTCTACAACATGTCTTACATTTAGCACGAACATAATTTTCTTGATTTGCACTGAAAACACCACTTTCAGCATATCTTTGAACTTGATAACTATTGTAACTACTATCAAAAGCTTTACCAAAATTGGCTTGTTTATTTACTTTACCATATGGGTAATTTTCAACTCCCTGACTTGAATCAGTAGCGTTGACAAAAGCAACGCTTATCAATAAGAACAATGAAATCATTGATATATCTAAGATGTGCCTATACTTTAAGAATAAAAACGAACACTTTTTTTAATAGGACATCTTCTTCTTTGATTCTAATAATATTCAAACTCATTGACTCTATTATTTTAAAAACTAGGATAACTCATCCCATTTCTGTGGAAGCAAAAGTTATGACTTAATTCTATAAAATAGGATATGCTTTTTTCCTTTTTTTGTGAAAAGAATATACAGAATTTTTGATATTCAACCAACACTTATTTTATTTGAAAATATTCACGTTAAAACATTAGTTGTGACGTAATTATTAAGTATAAAAATAGAAATCTAATAACTTTAGAAGTATTTATATAGTTTTTAATATCTATTTCCTATCACTGTTGCAATAGAATGGAAATATTTTTTGTTCCTTATGAAGTTAGTTATAGAAACAAAGATTCCTTTCGTTTCAACCTTTTCATTAACTCAGAAAAAGA